AGGTTATTTCAGCTGTATGTGAATTTTATTTGGCAACCTGTCACAGATAAATTTGTAGCTATAAAACTTGCAGCTATCAGGAACCAGGAGCTAAAGAGAGAGCTGGCTTACAGGTACTTAATTTCAGACCTTTTTTTTTTTTAACTCCAGGGATCTGACCATGTAGTGTTTGGCAGAGAGGTAGTTACCTACTCATTAGATATTTGAGCAGTACAGTAAATTCTGTGCTTGGAAAGGTATTTCCTATGCTCTTTCCAATCTACACATACTTGAAAGGTCTTGATTTTTTTTTTCCCCCTAGTCAGGTATGACTAAGGAAAACACGAAGTAGCTGCAGTATTTTTCATTGCAATAGAGGATTTTCTTTTTTGTAAGCTAAATTAATAATGCAGTCTCCAGCTCTTGGTCAATTTTAATTTGCTGATAACTGGGGTTTTAAACCAAAAGAGTAATAGTTTTTCAGTCAGCTCCCTCTGCTGGTTTTCTGGTAGCGGAACACAAATAAGTGTAAGCAATGACCTCTAAATACACTCAAGAATTACAGCATCTTTCTTTTTTTAGCCTGTCTTCCCAAATCAGTGCCTAGTTGGGAATACCTAAAAATTAATTAAGGGCTCATCTACTAACTTGGAAAACTATCTCCTACATTACCAGGAAATTGAACAAAACCTCATGTTTTTTCCTGCCAGTTTTCTTCAAAAGTGAAATTTGAAGTGCCATCAGCTGGTGCCTTTATTTTTAAATAGTAATGTGCAGAATACTTGTCAGAACAGCAGAAGTATTTTAGGAGGAAGCTTATTTTGCCTTTAGAAACCGGACATGTTTAGGCAATTTAGTTTCTTTGAACTAAAATTTATAACAAAGGAAAAATGCAACTAAATGCTTAGGTTCTTTACCGTGAATAATAATGGCGTGATAGCTTTTTTGACACTTAAATTACTGAAGTGTGATGCATGCCCTTGCTTTATTTAGTTTTGCTGCAACTACATTGTTGTGCTTATCTTTTAATGCTGCCACTCTTTGGAAGATGAGGACAAGGAAACTTCCCTGCCCAATAGAAAAAGTGTGGGTAGACAAGCACAAATATGATGAAGCAGAGAGACTGCATTATGAAAGAGAAGCGATGCTTGCTGCTGCGGCCCCTGAGGAGTGCCAGGAGATAGAGGCTGTAAATGGAGTCTGCAATGATGACTCTGTTGAAAGTGAATTCAAGGGAGACCTGAAGAAAGCAAGGAATGGAAAGAAACAAAGGAAACGGAAGCGTTCTCCAAAGCCCAAAAACGCGGCCTCCAAGTTAGACTCTATTTTGACTGGATTGTTAGCTGACCATGTGTGGTTTGACAAGCCTTTCTATGATCATGCTGAGAACGTGTACAGGAAAAAACTAGCGGATTGTCAGAACCAGGAGGCACCTGAGACTGCACTAACTGCTGAGCAGTCCCCTTTAGTGGCCAGGCCAAAAGCTGTCCAAGATGTTCCTAAGCCAAGGATGCTTTCAGCAGCTCTACCCTGCTCCCATGGTAGTCTGTCTGCGTGTCACCATGTTGTTCAGGGTGTCTGGGTCAACAAGTTTGACTTTGATAAGGCAGAGGAGGCGTTTATTGAAAAATCTCAGTTCTTTGTTCCTCCAAATGTCCTAACCATCCCGTCAGCGTTTGACCACGCAGGCAACGTTGGGCTGAGAACGCCAGATGAGGGCTATGTTACAGCCCTGCCTACTCCTGCTACACCAAGCTTAGCTCCAGATGTCGTTGCTGATTCTGCTTCTTCCTTCGTTACCAGTTTGCCAGGCTCTGTGCACCCGACAGTAAATGGTAAGCCGCAGATGTCAAGCTTGCAGGCTCTCATGTCAGAGGTGTGGTTGGAGAAACCTCTCTATGATGATGCTGAGAAGAGCTTCTACGAGAACATGTTTGACGGTCATCCGTCGGGCAAAGTCAGACAGAAGCAACGCGGCTGCTCTGAAGCACTGAGGAACCACCACGAGGACAGGAAGAACCACAGCGCTGGAAAGCAAACTGGCATGAAACATGTGGAAATCACCACCAACTCTCTGCTTCCCAGTGATGCTGAGCAACCTCTGCCTACCTGCTTTTTTCTGCATGAGGACAGTGAAACTGTGTGGCTTAATAAGCCAACATATGACAGAGCCGAATCACGATACTATGCAGCCGAGGCTCTGAAAATGTCAAGAACAGGAGAGAGTACGGGGATGCAGGATTCTGCAGTAGTAAAACCCTCCCAACCAGCTATTTCAAGCACATCTGCACCAGAAACGAAGTAGGAGAAGTTTATTCTGGGGTAACACTCACACATGCAAAACTGTCGGGTCAGGATTGAGCTGAAAGAATTTGAATGTGTAGAAGACAGGCGTCCTTTGTGTCCGCAGGACCAAGTGTGCATGCCACTGTAGGGAGGTGCTGCTCCTGAGTCAGGGAGCCTGTTTCTGGGCAGGGCTAACTGGGGGAATCTCCTTCACGGAACCCCCTTCTCCTAATGAATGCTGGTTGCTAAAGGTAGTATTTCTGTGATGCCAGAAGTTAAGCATTTAAAGTGAGGACTGGTAAGTGAGCTAAAATTTGACCCCCTCTTTACATGGGGGAGCCATGCCCCTTTCCGCATTCCTATTACATACAAAAAGTGGTAAAAGTTAGAAGCTGAAAGGAGGGATCACATGGTTTAAACAGGCCTCCTGAGATGGTGGAAGATGCAGTGTTTTGTCTTTGAATTTGAGAAGTTAAAATGGTGGCTGTTTGCTGTGTTTGTTTTGTTGAAGTGCCACCCCAGAGCACATAGGCTAGCCATGGAGCTCTGTGTGAGAGGTGACTGCATTTGAGCATCACTGGTAGTATCCAGCATGAAGAAGGCTTGGGAATGACAGTGAAATACAATTTAGGGCATCAATCTGGTGGGAGCATGTGCTGTATTAGCTTCACTGAAGGGCAAGGTTGTTAGACATTCGGTCTGGAAGCTGCTGTTCAATATCGGACAGGGCTAGCTAGATTACAGCTTGTTTGGTGTGTGTATATAGCTGGGCAGGAAGAGTTCATTCTCAAATTGTAGATGACCTTTGTAGTTCTAACTTGTAGTTATAGATCAGTTTACAGACAAACATTTAAAGGTGGCTTTTTATGTTGTGGATGAGATGCAGTATGATACTGTCCTTTTTGTGTTTAAAAATATACATTTATATAGAATGATAGAATGGTTTGGGTTGGAAGGGATCTTAAAAGCCATCTAGATCCAGCCCCCCTGTTGTGGACAGGGACATATGGATATATGACTGCCTGAATCCTGAAGTCTGCTGTGTGGAGGTCTGTAATGCCCTGGGAGCCTGTCAGAAGGCCAGTGCTTAGATGTTATTTTGCAGTGACTGATGTTCTTGGAAGAAAAGGTGCTTGGAGCAAAAGTTCTTATTTCTGACACTTGATCCTTGAGTTTCTTACGGTTTGTTGGAAAGTTTTAAGGTCTGTACATCAAGTGGTAAAGGGGATTACAGGCAAGCTTTAGAGAGTATACATGCCTTTCACCCTGTCCTATTTGGGATAACTTTCTCTTTAGTTGGACAGAACAAGGTATTTGGTTGTGCCTTTCACCCTTCCCCCGGGAAGTCCATGTGTCATCGTAAAGTAAGTTTGTAACTGGGATTCTGGATTAATAGTACTGGTTGGCAGCTCAAGCAGGGTCTTGGAGGTTTGAATGCTGGGAATGGCTTCAGTGTAGAGGACCTGTTATGGTACGGTGGCCTCTGGTCTCTTTTGAATGGGTAGATGAGAAGGGTGCTGCTTTTACAAAAGATGCATCTGTTGGCTTCCTTGGAAGTGTTTTACTGGAGAGCGGCAGGGTTTTGAGCTGGTAAGGAAAGGGTTTGTGGGTTATTAGTTGCTTTCTCTGCGTTGTGTGGTGGAACCTGGTAATGGTGTGGTTTCGTCATGATGCTCTATCCCTGCTTTCACCACCTCTTCAAACTGATGTTGGCTCTGTAACTGTCCCCTGGCTTGAAATAAGGGCACAGCCTCTTCTCTTAGTGTTGCAAGGGCTCCATCATTTGCCTTCGAGTTAAGAAATTAACCTTTGGAAGCTGCTGTGCTGAAGAAAAATAACACCCATTTCACAGCAGCATTAGGATGTTTTATGCTGTTCCTCCTTGTAGTGATAGGTGTCTGTCCCTTGCAAGTTTTGCATTGCTGAAGATTTTAATTTCTAAACAGTTGTAGCAGTTTCCAAAGGGTATGTCTGCGGTTACCTGTGGTGCCATTGTAAACTCTGTGTATCTGGATTCCCGGAGGCTGGTTGCTGTTGGTGTCAGGCAGTATCCTGTGCCGGGCTGTTCCTTACAGGAGGATTTGGTGGTGCACCTAGCGAAGCATGGCGTGACCAGGTAGACACATGCACTAGCCTAAAACAACCAACAGTTGCTGTCCATGCACTTGAGTCATGTTTGAGGAAGACTGAAATGCATTTAAATTTGTGAGTTGTAGTGTTGGGAGCTGCCTGTTGCACACAGTGCTCCCTCGTTGGCACACTGTAGGGTGTCATGTGCTGCTTGGAGCTGCGTATTCTTCAGTCTTTGGTTTCATCATGGCGAGGCATCTTAAAAATTAAAAGTATTATTCCCTTTTTGAGTCTCATACACAAGCCATCTTTCCTAGTAGCAGATTCCCATTTGTCTAGCATGATCTAGAAAATCCTGCTCTGAAAGCTTTTTTTTTTGTGGAAGAAGATACAGATCAGCTGTTTTATTCTGTCCCCACCTGGTGTCCTGTCACTAAATGCAGGTCAGGCCAGACAGACGGGTGGGTGATTAGACTGTCCCGTTTTCTTAATAGGATCCTGTTTACTTAAAGCTTTCCACTGGAGGGGGAAAACTGTCGAGCAGAGAACTGCAGGCGCAGCTCTTGGGGAAGAAAATACTCTTCTGACAAACTCATTGCAAGCTGCTAACCTGAAGTACTTTTAGGAACTCACTTCGGTTTTGTGGTGGGTTTTTTTTTTCCTTTCTGCAGAAAAATGGCAGTCGACTACTTTAAGCATGAGAAGATCTGGTTTGAGAAATACAAGTATGATGATGCTGAGAGAAGATACTATGAGCAGATGAACGGGCCAGTTGGCAGCTCTTCACGCCAGCAGGTAATGCTTGTTCTCAGGTGGGGTTCAGTGGAGTGCTGAAGCTTTAAGAGCTCGTACAGAGCATGTGAGAGGACACGATCCACCTGGACATGCACTTCTGTATTATTTCCACTCTGGGTGCTGCTTTTTTCAAGTGTGAGAGTCTTCTCTGGAGCTCCTTAAGCCTACCCCCAGTTATGACCCCTTTTGCCTTTTGAAAGACCATATTCTGTGGACTGTGAAGAATTTCTCCTGTATAACCAGTGTACTGGGAGATCAGACACCCTTGTAACAACAGACAAAGCAGTTATAGGTTAGAGCAGTTAATCTTTTCAGGCTACTGTGGCAGGGCACGGATGCAATCTGTGATCTAATGGGGGCACTGTTAGGGCTGTAAGCCCAGAGAGCTGCGATTCTGTTGACTGGGCTGGGTGATAATGCTAGGTGAAGAATTGATCAGTCCCCATTCAGCCAGGGAAGATGCTGTTTTGCTGTGGTTTTGGAGCAGCTAAGCTTTCCTTAGCAAGGGATATACTGGGTATATATGACATGATGTTTGAAGAGAGGCACTGTGGCTTCAAAGAGACCAGGAATTATGTTCCTGTCTTTGTACACCCCCTGCAATATTCAGTGTGCTCCTGCAGAAGACTGCATCATAGTACTGGTGAGTTGGGGGGAGCAGGTGGAGGGGAAGCATGGTGCTGCTGCAGCACACCTGAGCTGAAGTAGTTGAAGCTTAAATATTAGCCCGAAATCACTGCTGTTTAAAGGTACAGAGCTATTATAACTCTTCCTGCTATGTAAAGAGCTGTTAACTGCTTATGCATTTGGTTGGTTATGTAGAAAGCTGCTTAGTTTTAAGTGGCTGTCTTGCAAGTGTTTAAGGGGAAGCTTTTTGCTTAAGTAATAGCTT